ACTGTCATGGGGCCTGTAGGCCTGGAAATAGCCCTCAGATTCAAGTTGAAAAGGCTCTGGCCTTTTTTTAGGCTGAAACGATACAGGGCCTGTGGGCCCCGGATGTCAGGCTTACGGGCTGAACCGTCATGGGGCCTGTAGGCCCGGAAATAGCCCTCAGTTTCAGGCTGAAAAGGCTCAGGCCTTTTTTAGGCTGAAACGACACAGGGCCTGTGGGCCCCGGATTTTAGGCTTTCAGGCTGACCCGTCACGAGGCCTGTAGGCCCTTATTTTCAGGCTTTCAGCCTGAAATTCAGGCTTCCGGCCTGAACAACGCAGGGCCTGAAAAATGGCCTTCGTGTGCAGGCGCAACATGCAACACCCCCCCCTCCTTATGAAGTCAAGCCGGGTCGAGGGCGAAGCCAACGATCTGAAGGTGGAACCTGGGCGCGGGTGCGACGTGGAGCCGAAGATACCGGCTTGCCTTGCAGCTTGCGTTCATAGCGTATGAGCACATCCGGGGCTGTCGCTTGCAGATCCACACGGGTCAACCAACGGTCAGCTCGATGGGTGCAGTACGCGAAATGTACCAAAAACGAGGTCGGCCTGTTGTCGTAGTGTCGCTGGGAGATGATGTCACCAACCTCCTGAAAATCGTCCATAGAGGGTGGGTCTTGCGATCGTCGCCCGGGGAAGTCATCATGTTCGGCCGGGGTGTAAAGGGCCAACTTGGAACAGTAAAAAACCGGGTTGACGGGCAAGTGGGCGGGCACCTGAATGACGAATGAAGGTCCTTCGGGTGCGTCCCCAGTGGGTGCCACGATCGACCAGGGCCCCATCCATTTCGGGAGGAGCTTGGGAGAGAAATCTTGCTCGAGTCTGAATTCCGCGGCAGACACCCATACGAGGTCGCCGACGCGAAAGGGACAAGGAAGACGCTGTCGATTTGCCTGTTGGTTCATGTGTTGTTGTGTCTTGGCCATTTGGTCGCGTGCTTTGACAAGTAGCTCGTGCATCCGACGCAAGAAAAGAAGATGATCGTCGCTCTCGGCCGTCTGTGGAATAATTGTGTCCAACGGAGAAGTGATCGGTGACCCGTGCTCGAATTCGAAGGGCAACATTCCGATAGCCGGGTGGATGGACGAGTTGTATGCCAACTTGACATCCGGCAGCCGCTCAACCCAATCCTTTTGGTCGGGACGGATGAGAGTGCGAAGGAGAACGTGTGCGGTCTGATGCGCTCTCTCCGTTTGGCCATCGGTTTGGGGGTGGCGAGCCGAACTCGGCTTGAGAGATGAGCCCCATCGTTTGATGAGCGCCAACCAAAAGTCGGACATGAACCGAGTGTCGCGGTCGCATACGATTTCCTTGGGGTAACCCTTGGTTCGAATCCAACCGGCGTAGAGAACCTCGGCTAACTCCGGTGCCTTGGCATGATAGCGACAAGGCAAAAACATGGTGAACTTGGTGAGTCGGTCGACCACCGCGAGAATCCCATCCACACCAATCTTGTGTTTGGGGAACGACCCAGTGATGTCCATGGCAATCGCTTCCCTTCGGCGCAAGGGGACTGGTAATGGTCGCAACCCGTCGTACGGACGATGATTGCGGTATTTGCAACGTCGACAAACCTCGCATGACTCGCAATACCGTGTGACGTCGTCGAGGAGACCGGGCCATCAGAAACGCTCGCGAAGTCGGCCAATCATATGATTGACTCCAAAGTGTCCAGTGGCGGGAGCATCGTGGAACTCGCCAAGAAGCCGCGTACGCAAGTGAGAGTCACTCGGTACGCAAAGAAGATCCTTCCCCCGCGAGTGGACGAGCAAATATCCCTCCTGGATCCGATAATGCGAAGGCACCAGATTGGGAGAGGAGCAATTCGCATACTTGTCGCAAAACTCGGGGTCGGCTTGGTAGGCGTGGATGAAGTTGTCCCGCAAATCGTCATCAATCTCAAAAGTCGAGTAGATTGCGGTGCAATGGTCCGGACGTCATGAGAGAGCATCCGTAAAAGGGTTTGACTTGCCCGGAATGTGATTGGGAAAAAAATCAAACTGGTCGATGAAAGCCATCCATCGGGCAATGGTACTGTTAATCGTGTCTTGCGACTTGTAGAATACCAACGGATTGTTATCCGTTACCCATCGGAATGCTTTCCGACCAAGGAGGAAATGTCGCCAACGCTTGAGGGCGTGGACGAAGGCAAGAAGCTCCTTCTTCCGTGCGTCGTCAATCGAGTGCACGACGGGTACCTTCTTGCTGAAGTACTCGATGGGGTGCCAGTCCACGCCATCATGTTGCTCGAGGACGGCCCCAATGCCATAGCCAGCTGCGTCGGTCGCGACACGTGTCGGCAACAACGGATCATAGATGTGCAACACTTGCGGATAACAATGCGGCCTTGAGGGCCAAGAATGATTCCCGCGCGTCCTCATTGAAGTCAAACGGCCGATCCTCGCATTGAAGCTTGGTCAAGTGGGCCGCGATCTTCGAATAGCCGTTAATAAAACGTTGGCAGTAGCCGGCAAGGCCAAGGAACGAACGGACATCCGTGACATTTCGCGGTTCCGGCCATTCTTGGATGGCTTGAATCTTTTCCGACAACGGGCTGATGCCCTCCGGTGTGACATAATAGCCCAAGTACTCCATCTCTTGCCGGACAAATTCATACTTGTCGCGGTTAGCTTTGAACTTGGCGCGGCGGAGTGTCTTCAACACTCGTCGAAGGTGCTCAAGATGATCCTCCTAGGTCAGGCTATAGACGAGGATATCATCGAGGTACACCAACACAAATCGGTCAAGCATCGCATAAAATTTGTTGGTCATCGCCGCTTGGAAGGTCGCCTCGGCATTGGTGAGGCCAAAAGGCATGACTATCCACTCAAAATGCCCATACCGCGTCTTGAATGAGGTTTTGTAGCGATCCTCCGGGCGGACCGAAATCTGATGATAGCCCGACTTCAGATCGAACTTGGAAAAATACTTTGCGTCGCCCAATCGCTCAAGAAGATCGTCAATATGAGGAAGAGGCCCGCATTCTTGACGGTTTGCGCGTTGAGCTTGCGGTAGCCGATACATAGTTGTAGATCCTTGTTCTTCTTCCGTACGAAGAGAACGGGTGCTTCATAAGGGGAGTTGCTAGGGCGGATCCAACCCTTGTTCAACAAATCATCGAGTTGTGCGCGGAGAACCGTAAGCTCCTCCTCGCTCATGCAATAAATGCAACCTTTCGGCGGCACGGCACCGTCCTCAAGAATGATCTCGTGAGAGATCGGTCGATCCGGCACCACACCGGTGGTGACTCGAAGATGTCCGCGAACTCGTCAAGCAACCGCACCACATGGGGGTCCGAAGATGAGTCTGTGGGTGAAGAGTCGGCTACCGCGACGGTCCGTAGGAAGCATAGGTCTATCTCGTCGGGCTGCTCGTAAGCACAAGTAGCCCGGAACGACTTGGTCGTCACCACTTGGTACCGGATCGAAGGGTGCGGAAGAGGAATGGTACACGGCACTTCGGCACCGAAGGCGTCGCGAACGGTAAGAGCCCGCCAGTGGAAGTTGACCGTGTGATCCGCACTTGCAAGCCAAGGCATTCCCAAAATAATGCCGAAGTCCGTGTCCAAAATGTCGAACGTCACCGGTTCGCGTGCATGAGGTGCGAAATACACCGGTACGGCCGCGATGTAGCGGTTGAGAAGTTGCTGCGTCCTTCCGTCCGCCAACTTGATCGCCATAGGGTTTGCCTTCCTTCGAACTTGTGCGCCAAGGCCAACCCTTTGCATAAAGGCTTGGCTCATGAAATTGCGAGACGCGCCGCTATCTAGCAAAGCGCTGCAGGACGCTTGCCCAACTTGGATGCGGACATAGAGGAGCGGTGCATTGTTGTCATCGTACCACTGCTTGCGAAACTCGCGGGCCACCTTGGTAACATACGCAAGGATGTCCCCCACCGCAACTTCGTCCTCCGCTGGCGAAGTTGGTGGTGCATAGAAGGATAGATACGTGTGAAGACGGGCGCATAGTGTTGCGCATTGAGGTCCCGGCAAGCGGCCCGTGGTCGGGAGAGAAAGCCATGCGAAATCCTCGGACGTGAGCGGGTCCAATACCTCTATGTTGAACTCGAGCGCCGAATCCCGTGAAGAATCACTTGAAGACGATAAGTTGCCCCTGCCGGACGGGGAAGATGCCGCACACACGTCTTGTCCTTGAGCCTGAGTACCCAGCGTAGGAACGAGCCGGGCAGCATAGTCCTTGAAAGAATATAGAAGAGGAAGACTATCGACTTCCGCATGTACCTCGGAACGAAGGGCGGTCACCCATGAAGCGACCGGTTCCGAAGGCGTCGAGAGTGTCGTCGAATCACTCCCGGCGGCGCTCAGTTTCCCGATTTGCCTTTGCCTTTCGACGGGCAGCCCACTGTCTCATGGAGATCGCTGTTACACCACAGAGACAATAGCGGAATCTCGTGCGTTGCTTGTAAGCTTGCTCCAAAATACCGTAGTGGGACCATGGGGCTGGAGCTGCTGCGTCGGGCCCGGGGATAAATGTGGTGTTTGTCTTCGGTTTGCTGTGTCCTCGGCCTTTGCCGGGGCGACCACCATCCCGGGCAGCTGCGAGTCTGTCCTCATCATTAGCAGACACGGCCTCGCTAGTTTGGTAGTTTGGCGTCGCCGCCGTGACCAGGGCCACTTTCGGCCGATGCTGGTCTCTGCTCGGGCCTGTCGCAGACGAATTGTTGAGGTTCTTGGCCTCCTTGTTCGTGACAATAATCTGCGTGGCCTTGTCAAAGAGCTCTGCCGTCATCGTCAGGGTGTCCTCGACGTGAGTCAAGGCATTGCCCAACGACGGACACGACCTCGAGATGTAGTGTTTGATGGCCTTGAAGCCCATCTGAATGTCTGGGACGAATATCAAGCGTTGGTACTCGGCAATCCAGTCGACACTGGGCAGCGAGCCTTGTTCGAAGGTCATCAGCTTGTCCATGGCCTTGATCTTTGGCGGCTCTACTTGGAACCGCTTATGCCACGCTGCCTTTAGATCGTCCCAGTTGATCTTGGTGTGTAACTCGGCAGCTACCACGCCGTACTTGGACAAGAGGTTGTCCAACCATGCTTGACACGCGCCTCCCGACCGGGAGTATAAGTATGCATGGTGCTTGTGCTCGCTGACGTGGTGTAGCTGCAACGTGAGTTCAAACTTGYGGAACCACGACAYCGGGTCCGTCTTCGTCGAAYCGCAGAAGATCTCCTGACCGTCGAACTTTGGAGTCGTCTCACGTGGTGCCGAACTCGGGTTGGCGGCGGCAGCACAGATCCGCTGCTCTAGTTGTTGCGTGGCGGATTGCTGTGACTGCACGTCGTCCTTGAGGGCTCTGAAGGCAATCTCCAATGCCTTGAGGCGATCGGAAGTGTTGGAGGAGCTGGCGACGGAGGTGGTGACGGGTTGTTGCTCCGGTTGCTGGAGGCGGCTGTTGACTTGGTGGAATGCCCGTTTGTGATTCTGCACCGCAGCGTCGAGGTTGTGGATGTCCTCCTGTTGTGCAATGCACGTTGCCAGGAGGTTCGTGAGATGGGAGAGGAGGAGAGCGATCTTGCTTTCGCTCTCTTCCATTTTACCATCCTCGGCCTCGGTGCGCCAGTCCGCTGCCATTGCGAGTAATGCTCGCTCCCCGTTGAAGATCTTCTCACGTCGTTGCATTCGTTCTTCATTTGCAGCCTTGGCTGCTGCCTCGTCCTGCTGGCGTTGTTGCTCGATTGCCAGCAGACGCGCGTTCTCTACGTCTTCTGCCTTCTTCTTTGCCGCGGCTGCTGCAGCGTCCGACAGTTGCCTGGCCTCGGCGAGCATGTCCAACAGCCGGGTCTGATAGGCCTCGCCCGTCTCCCCTGCCTTTTGGTCCATGACGGCTGTGTGAGAGCGCGTGAGCATAGACTAGGCCGGAGGACTGCTGACGTGGCACTCCCTGCTGCCGACGTGGTGCGGCTGTCTGCTGATATGTCCTGCTGATGTGGCCTGCTGACGTGGCCTGTTGTCGTGGCAACTTACCAATTCCTTAGTAGGGGTACCCGGACTCAGGTGAAGAAGAAGAGTAGACCAGAGGGCAACAACGTAGGTGGGTGGGATAAATCGCCCAGACAAGAACGAAAAGTTTGAACTTTGCAAAAAAAATTCGAGAAAATAACAGCCACACAAAAAAAAATCTCGAGTTTGCAAGTTCCGTAGGTCTCCCAATCTCCCCTGAAGTGCGAAATTATCAGTGAATTTTTTTTTCGAACTTTCAGACTGCACATGATTACCCGAAAAAAAAAAATAAAAAAAAAATTCGGAATTACTTAGATGAGAGTATGCGCAGTTTGGAAAGTGGTAACTGCCACAGGGATTTTCCTGTACCGTTTTGAAAAAAAACGAACTCCGAAAAAAAGTATTTCGGATTTCTAAGTGACGGGAAATGCAAAATCGAAATTTTCGAAAAAGATATTCCGGATTTCCAACAATGAAGTTTCGGATTTTCAGAAAGAAATGAAAACGGAAATTTCAGGTGTTGCACTATTGCGATTGTCCACAACAGAAATAGCGGGAAAACAAAATCCAAGAACAGAAAAAAATCGATTTTCGGCAGTTAAGTCAAAATCGTGATTTTGGGGCTACCTAGTGTACTCTAATCAATCAATCAATCAATCGAGACTAATCTACTAATTAGTCCCCCGCACACGTGTCAGATCAGGTTGTCCCGATTCACGTGTGGCGCTCCGGTACCAACTGTTATATGCCCAGTTGGGCTATGTGTTCAGCCAAGGATCCGCAATGTGATGAAAAGGACTGAATGGACAATGTACTATTTGTAACGATCCTGGTCATTTCCCAAGTGCAAACTCACAATGAAAGACAATGCCACCCAATTGCGAAAGAAATGAAAGCACTTGCAAAGAGATAAAGACCAGAGGAGAGGTAAAGAAGAAGAAGAAGAAGAAGAAGAAGAAGAAGAAGAAGAAGAAGAAGAAGAAGTACACCAGCAAGACCAATGACAATTCCCCCTTCTCTCTCCACCTTCCTCCTCCTCCTTCCTCCTCCTCCTTCTCTTCACCAATCTTATTCTTCTCTCAATAATAATAATAACAATGAATGGGTGAACCAGAATCAATATCCGAAGTTACTGCTGACTCAACTCAACAACAACAACAACAACAACAACAACCAGTCCACCATAGCTATGGCTTCCCTCCTTCAGCCTCCTCTCTCAAGCATAGGCTATGGCGGACTAACGAGGGCCTGGCCCTGATGCCCAAAGGACCACTCAAAGCAGCTATGCCGCTGATGGCTTGGTCCGCTATGCCTGCCTCTGCCTCGGGCTCCCCCAGGTGCCGCACTACCCCAACCGGTGCCTTCCAGATGCAGCGCCCAACCAGGTGATGAAGATGGTATCTACCATAGCCAAGTAAGTGCCCTGCCACTCTCCCTCCATGTCCCCTTCTTCCTCCTTCTCAAACTGGGTTGCTCGCCATAGCTAGGCTGAGCTCCCAGCGGCCCTTCTCCCTCCTAGCAGCGCTGTACCTCCAGCGCTGTGCTCCAGCAGCATGTCGCCAATCCTTGCACACCGCAAATGAGGAAGAGCTCTCCGCTCTTCCTGAAGATATAGCGGCCTACCGGCCTCCTGGGCGGTGACTTCCTAGGCCAAGCGGCCTCCCAGCAACCGGTACTCCCTTTTGGAGGGAAACATCATTGCAGGCTCTGTTATTGTCCGCACAGGCCCTAGACCCGGGCTACTTGGACTGGTACCGGCCTACCTCTAACCTACCGCTACTGGGCCTCTAAAAATGCCAACTTTTTGTCTTCTTCTGCTCGGCCTACCTGCTACTTGAGTGTTTTTCCCCAGCTGCTCTAAGTGCCGTGGGCCTACTCCCCGCTACCGGCGTGTTTACCC